ATTGATGCTTGTTTGTTTGGTGATGTTAGGAGGGGTTGCGTGGGTGGGAGGGGGGGCGGGCGAATGGGGTGTGGTGAGTCCTCACAGAGACGGATTGTTGGTCTGGATCTTGTAGAACGTTGCACAATTTAAATCAACTGTTGAATACCTCACCAACTAGTGAACATGGCGTATCAGCATCATATATTATCTGTATGTGGATATATGTATAGTTGTTGTTGGGGGGTTATTTAATTGTGTTTAACATAGAGAATGACGTCATATACCTCCAGGGGTATACAAAGACCACAGTTTGAGAAGTTTTTGGAATAGAGGGGCCAAGGAAGGAAATCATGGATCACATATAATGGGTGTTTGAAAAGAAGACAAATGTCTGTGATATAAATGTGGCATTCATTTATTTATATAATACAAAACAAGAGGCATAAGTTCCTTATAGACTTATAAATATAACTTCAGTTACCTTCTCTTCTTAAAAACGTAAAAAAATAATCGTCCGTGAATAAGAGTATCAAGCATACAACCCCCCCCCCCAAAAAAAAAACACGTTTAACCAGAACGCACCCCCTCTATAATAGGATCCTACGGGGACGCGAACCACAGTTTTGAGAACACTGCTCTAATAAATGTCTTTATAATTGTTTCAGCCACTCCCAGACTTTTGTATTCAAATGGTCGCATCAAAATTCTTGATACTATGCGCCCTTTGCAGAAATCTTGAAACGAGAGTGGACCATTGGCAGAGACCCACCACAACAACACAGGCACACCCCCCCCCCAAACCCCATAAATAAAATGCAATTAAAAAAAAGAAGAGGAGTGTGTATGCCATGAGCATTTCCGTTGTGATACTAAGAGTAGTTTAAAATGATTTCTGATCTTTGCATTCACTAGGATCACACCTATACGGGTCTGGGTGACCTTGAGACACTGACCTGGTAGGTCAGAGTTGTAATATCATGTACTGATAGTAAAAATGTGTTATGGCCTTGACAGAAATGTCACTTTGGTGTCAACAATCAACACAAGCACTGACGCTGTTTGACATTCTGAACATCCATTGAAAACTTTAGAAAATTTGGTGGTCACACTGCCATGTCAGATAAAGGCATGTGGTGGTCCCACTGCCAGGGTCAGATAAATGCATGTGGTGGTCCTACTGCCAGGGTCAGATAAAGGCATGTGGTGATCCTACGGCCAGGGTCAGATAAAGACATGTGGTGGTCCCACTGCCAGGGTCAGATAAAGGCATGTGGTGGTCCTACTGCCAGGGTCAGATAAAGACATGTGGTGGTCCTACTGCCAGGGTCAGATAAAGGCATGTCGTGGTCCCACTGCCAGGTCCAGATAAAGGTATGTGGTGGTCCCACTGCCAGGGTCAGATAAAGGCATGTGGTGGTTCTACTGCAATGATCAGATAAAGGTATGTGGTAGTTCTACTGCCATGGTCAGATAAAGGCATGTGGTGGTTCTACTGCCATGATCAGATAAAGGTATGTGGTGGTTCTACTGCCATGATCAGATAAAGGTATGTGGTGGTTCTACTGCCATGGTCAGATAAAGGCATGTGGGGGTCCTACTGCTAGGTCCAGATAAAGGTATGTGGTGGTCCTACTGCCAGGGTCAGAAAAGGCATGTGTTGGTCCTACTGCCGGTTTCAGATAAAAGAATTTGGTTGTCCTTAACAACGCCAGCAGATGGCCTTCTGTGGCCCTGAGCACCGCCAGCAGATAAAGTCATCTTGTAGCCATGGGACCCACCAGCAGAGTTACCCATGTAGCTATTTATGCGATAGAAGTTTATTTTCCGACAAGACACAGCTATTACTCGCTGGACAATGCGGTGTGACATTTCATAGTTGATCATTAAGAAGACAATTTCACTTATAAATGTGTCGTTACAGGTAGGGGATGACAACATGTGACACTGCTTGAACTAATGTCTAGTGGACAGAGTGTTTGGTGGCCAACACTGCACGTATTCTAGTCTAGTGGACAGAGTGTTTGATGCCCAACACTGCACGTATTCTAGTCTAGTGGACAGAGTGTTTGGTGCCCAACACTGCACGTATTCTAGTCTAGTGGACAGAGTGTTTGGTGGCCAACACTGCACGTATTAATGTCTAGTGGGCAGAGTGTTTGGTGGCCAACACTGCACGTATTAATGTCTAGTGGGCAGAGTGTTTGGTGGCCAACACTGCACGTATTCTAGTCTAGTGGACAGAGTGTTTGGTGGCCAACACTGCACGTATTAATGTCTAGTGGGCAGAGTGTTTGGTGGCCAACACTGCACGTATTAATGTCTAGTGGACAGAGTGTTTGGTGGCCAACACTGCACGTATTCTAGTCTAGTGGACAGAGTGTTTGGTGCCCAACACTGCACGTATTCTAGTCTAGTGGACAGAGTGTTTGGTGGCCAACACTGCACGTATTCATGTCTAGTGGACAGAGTCGTTGGGTGGTCCTGTCATTCGTTTGTTGGTGTCTTGCCCCCTGCATTCAAAGTTGATATTTATCTCTTTTCCAAATCACAACTTTGGGCCCCTTAATTATCGCGAGACACTCTGCACCCGCACGGGGTGTAGCGTCTAAGGCAGCGGTTCTCAACCTGTGGGTCGTGACCCCTTTGGTTCAGAGGGGTCGCCTAAGACCATCGGAAAACACATATACGCCACAGTTATGAAGTAGCACGATAACAATTTTGTGGATAGGTGTCGCCACAATATGAGGCACTGTGTTAAAGGGTCGCGGCATTAGAAACCACTGGTCTAAGCTAAGGCCCATTTCACTGTATTACTAGTGTGCAGCTACACTGTAGTAGTGTAAATCCCTGATCTTGTATTGACATCAAAAGTTTGAGTTCCGGGCAGAGGCTTAGCGAGGGGGGGGGGGCAGATGTCCGGGACAGATGTCCCCGAGCGCAAGCTAGTTAGGGGCGCCAAAATGTGCTTCGATATTATGTTAGTGGTAAAAAAATTGGGCTTGAGAGCTGAAAAAAAAAGAAAAGGGGCGCTTTAAAATGGATCTTTTCCGCGGGCGCCAAACACCCTCGCTACGCCTCTGCTTCCGGGACGGTGAGAACCTCTCAGTCCTATCTAGCAGCCTATCAAGCATGCCATTTTGACACGCTTCACCCGCCTTGTCATTTATTGGTCCGTCGCTATCAGCAGACGTTTCCAGTCCTTGGCCTAATATCTGTCAGCGTGTATGCTCTAATATGTCGTATGACATGACATGATCAAATGATACGAATAAATGATATGATGTCAATTTTAATGGTTTGTGATTTCATCATGGCAAAGTGAGCTGATACTAAAAAAAAAAAGTTTGCTAAAAAAACCTATGTTATTATGGGAACGTCGCTATAAAAACCAGTCGACCAATGTGAAGAACATTACTGTATAGCGGCGGTGCTCAGCATGTGGGTCGCGACCCCTTTGGGGGTCGAACGACCCTTACGAGGCATTCGTCTAAGACCATCGGAAAACATATGTTTGAGAAGTAGCAACGAAAATAATTTTTGGTTAGGGGGTCACCACAAAATGAGGAACTGTATTAAAGGGTCACGGCATTAGGAAGGTTGAGAACCACTGCTCTATAGAAGCAACATGGAGAAACGTTAGGGTAAAAACTTATGCAATTTAACAACTTACTGTTAAGTGTTAATAATGTATGTAATTACACAAGTAGGCCTAGTTGGCAATGTCATATTTCTGTCCTTCTCTCGAACTTGAGCCCAAAAGTTCAAGGTTATCACAAGGTGACACGATTTGATATTACAAAGTAAAGTTTGGGGTGGGGGATCTAGGCTTCACTTAAGCGGTTCCCCATTAAAATTAATAGATTTGATGTCTAACCTTTATAATTAAGTTTTACTTATTACTAGTATTTATTTTTTTAAACTCACGTGATATATTGCTGGATTAAACGTAAACTCATAAAAAATGCATTGATGTGTAAAAAATGATTATTTATTGCGTATGTCTTATGGTAAGATACGCGCACGTACATGATCAACAGATGTATGAGATAACTTTGTTTTAAAGATCAATCATTCTCGTGACGCAACTGCAACACTCTTTACCTGGCCACAATTGTCACTTTTGGAAGTCGGTAGTATTCTAACATTGTTCCAAGGATGATGTTCTAACATTGTTCAAGGGATCATGTTCTAAAATTGTTCAAGGGATCATGTTCTAACAATGTTCCAAGGATGATGTTCTGACATTGTTCAAATGATGATGTGAAAAAATATTAAATACAATTTTTGACTGAATGATGTAACATTAACCCAGTAAGCCAGCGGTTCTCAACCTGTGGGAAGCGACCCCTTTGGGGATCGCGAGACCCTTTTCCAGGAGTCGCCTAAGACCATCTGAAAACACATATCCTTACAGCAATGAAGTAGCAACGAAAATTATTGTGTGGCAGGGGGTCGCCACGACAAGATAAACTGTATTAAAGGGTCGCGGCACTAGAAAGGTTGAGAACCACTGCAGTAAGCGGTCCTGGGATTTGAAACGATCATTGATACATACCTCAACACCAGTGAACTGTCCTATGATATGGAACAATCACTGATACATACCCCACACCAGTGAACTCTCCTATGATATGGAACAATCACTGATATATACCCCAACACCATGGCAGTGAACTCTCCTATGATATGGAACAATCACTGATATATACCCCAACACTAGTGAACTCTCAAATGATATGGAACAATCACTGATATATACCCCAACACCAGTGAACTGTCCTATGATATGGAACAATCACTGATATATACCCGAACACCAGTGAACTGTCCTATGATATGGAACAATCACTGATATGTACCCCAACACCAGTGAACTCTCCTATGATATGGAACAATCACTGATATATACACCCCAACACCAGTGAACTCTCCTATGATATGGAACAATAGTGAACTGTCCTGTGATATGGAACTGTCACTGACACATTTTATAAACAAACACTAAAACAATTCCTGTATATTTTGAAAAAATGGCATTTATTTGATGTCATCGTCACCAAATGTACACAAGGAAAAACAACTCAGTTTGCATTTTTTTAAGAGCAATAATCATAAAATATCCACATAAAAATAATCAAAATATACAGACTATTATTACGTCACACTCCAAAATCTGTCTTCATGAAATGAGAAATCACAATGTGCCTCTGTTTCACTCTTATCAGAGGAAAGATGCAAGCAGAAGTCAGACACTCCCTGTGACAGTTGCACACACACACACAATACTATCAATAAATCAACCAAACAGAAGACAGAATTCAGCCAATAATTTATGATTTAAAGAAGAAAAAAAAAACGAGATTTCAAAGAATATTCTGTGTTGCAAACAGCATGTCACATACAATAATTTCGTACGTTTGTGCATATATATATATATATAAAAAAAAACAAAGAACATATTTATCACTGTCCAGTAGGGTTGAAGTTGTTCACACCTACCGCCAAGAAACGTCCAGACTGAATACAGAGTACCGGTACTTGGTGTTATATGGAAAACTGGAAGTACTCAATTTTTTTATTTTTTTTTTAAATTCTGACATTCTTTGGTTTTGTCCACTTTAGCAATATTTATCAAAGAGAGAGAGACCCAAGATTACATCTTACATACTTTATACATACAGACAGTAAGAAATGAAACATACTGCTACTAATAAAATATAAATAAGAATGAAAGAAGCTTAAGATTAAGAAATGCTTTTAATTTTTGAAGGATTTTTTGTGTTTCTTTTTAATAATAATTTCTTAAATTCGTGGATTCCAAACTGAAAGACATAGGATGAAAACATGTGAGGGGTATGTCATTTCAAATAGGGGGACACACAAAAAAAAAAAAAACCAAGTAAGATATGAAAATAAAATGCTGTTGAAATACTTTGGATGTGCAATGTTAGCAAAAGTTCAGTAGAAATCGTAAAAATAATGTGGAAAATAAAATATATTTTTTTTGTGAGGAGTTGAAATAGATTTTTTGGGAATAAATTGTTTTGAAAAGTAATAAACAAAGCCAATTAAGACACCAGAGAAAAAATTTAAGATGAAGAGAGAAATTTATAAGAATATTTGTGTCTTTATTCACACACACACACACTTATTGATTTTAATAACTTTATGAACATTTTCGGTATTCATATATATGAATAATTCTGCATCGAACTATCAATTCTCGGCATCACTTTGCATTCGTTTTATTTTTGACTAATACTTGCAACATTATTCAAGACTTGCAATATTATTCAATGCTTGCAATCAGATCAATTCCAATTTAAAAGATTTAGTAATGCATAAAATCCATTGTCCAGAATGGATGAAAAAGAAATTAATCTTTATTATAAATTAATGCAATGCAATGATCCATAACAAGATGTCTGTCAATGCTAAAGCTCAGTCAAGTCCTGGTCAAGTCAGTCAAGTTATCATCAAGCCATCTTCATAAAGAGCACAGGACAAAAATTAAAAATTTGATCACAAAATGTTTTGTTTAGTGTTTTGAAGAATGAGCGAGCAGTTACACAAGCCGGCTATTCTCCCATTAATTGTCATGGCACAACAGCAGCTCCTAATCTCTGGCCGTATAGGGTGTAGGGAGAATAATAGGGTCCGACGGGAAAGGACTGCGGGGTAGGGGGGCTGGCACCCACCGCAGAAAGAGGAGATTTGTACGGGTGGTACCTGCTTGCGCCCAGGAGGCTTGACACTGGACTTAAACTTGTTGGGTAAGACCTTCTCAGAGAGTTCGGGCTAAGAGGTGCGGACAGGTGAGGGTAGGCCGCCAGGGACGGGAGGCCAAGGCCGGCGTAGGACGCCGCCAGCGTGGACACGTCCATCGATGATGTGTGCGTCCTCAGATGCTGGAGGAGGTCCTCGGAGGACGTGAACCGCTTGCCGCAGTAATCGTTGCCTGAAACCCAGTTGCATACGTATGGAAGTCCTTGATGGGCAGCGGCGAGGGCGTTGTGCGGGTACAGGGAGTGTAACGATGACAGGGCCGACATTGAACTGGACAGGGAGCTGGCCGACGACAGCGAGGGGAGGAGCATGGAGGAGGCAGAGGCGCCCTGGAGCCCGAGGGCGGACAGGCTGGTCAGAGATTTCTCGTGGGCACATTGGGAACAGCCTGGGGCGTTGCATGTTGACGACAAGTGGGAGTTCTGCAGGGTCAGCTGGCAGTTAGTGCAGTAGGGATCCCTGCAGACCGGCACCAGAGTGGTCGCACCCGAAGGCGTGCGGACCCTGGCATATGTTACAAAGGGGGATAATGCAGACGGGGAACCGGCGGCCGCAGCCGCTTTCAAGGCCGACGACTGCGCGGCGGCGGCGGCTGCCGAAAAACTGGACAGGCTCGTGTGTGCCGCCAGAGCGCTGTGGTAGCTGGGGTCAAGGCCGTGTGACATGAGCGCCAGGTGGGTCGGGTAGCCGGCGAGATGGGCGGCCGTCTGGAGGCCACCGAGCATGGACTGGTGAGACACGGATGGCTTGACCGAACTGCTCAGAGGCGACGACTGCATCACGGATGTTGCGTGGGAGCTCATGGCCTTTGAATAGGACGGTGAGGAGGAGCTGGTGTGCGACATCGACCCGGAGGACGCGGGCGAATCACGATTTCTGTGGTGAGAGTGGTGGTGACCGTTACTGCTGCCGTGCTGGTGATGATCACCACCGCCGACACTCACGGGTTCGCCTTTCCCGTTGCTGCTCCTGGAGCTGGATCGTTGTCCATTGTGCGAGTGATGTCCACCAGCCGACACCGGTCTGGACGACGAGCTGGAGGAACTGGACATGCTGGAACTCGTGTGACCACTCGGAGAGATCGGCGCCTTCGGCTCGGCACTCGACGTCCTCACGGATTTCTCACCGGACGGTATGGGCACGAGCGGCGGGATCTCCTTAGGCGGGAAGGTCCTGAAGCCAGGTTTGTTGGAGTCCCGGCCCGAGTCCTTGTGCCCGTGAGAACTGGGTCTCTTGTTGGAGGACTCGGACTCTGAACACTTGTCTGGTTTCTCGCAGTCTTTCTTCTCCAGGGGCGGTATGATCGGCTTGGAAGGTGACGTGTCCTTGCCGATGGCGCTGCAGGTCTGTGCTAGTAGAGCCAGTGGGCTTTTCTTAGCATCCAGCTGTAGAAGAGAATAAAAAAAACTAATCAGCTATCGTCCATTTAAGGTCATCGTGTTTTTGTGTTCTGTATTGGAAGTGGCATCTTTGTGTCTAAGTGACATCTTTATGTCTAAGTGACATCTTTATGCCTACATACATCATAGTATTTTCTCAATATAAAAGTTTTGAGGTACAAATACGCCCTCACACAAGTCGGAAAATAAAAGGGGAAAATTAACGTAATCCTCCTACAAATGGGCTAAAGTTAACAAAATTGTTTTTTTTTAAACAATTAAAAAAAAACAAACAACCCACAATAAATTGTTTAAGATAAGCTTAAAGTGTCATCCCCGTCAGACCTCCTCGCTAAAAGCAGGCATTCATGGCCGAGGCCGTGCCGAGTGCTGTGTTATTAGACGCGCAAATAAACATGCCAGCTAAGCTCTTGGATGTGATAAATAATTCCGTCTTTTTCACCACGAAAAGTGGATTAAATAAATAACACGGACCTCTCGGGCCGCCCTCGTAGGACCGTCCGATCAACAAATACCAAATACCACTAAGTGTCATCACACCCGTGCAGACGAACACGGACCAGAACAACATGCAGTTCGCAGACAAGGTGTTTTTTTTTTTTGCCCTTAACATTTTTGGCACCCCCACCCCTTTTTTTTTTTCGTCATGTACCGTCTTTTAGCCGAATCGTGAATCTTATGTTGGTAGAGTCACTTACCGAGACACCAAGAAGAAAAAAAACCGGGGTAAATCTATATTTGACCGCAGTTTATGGCGGTCTACTGCAGCCAAACAAAGCCAATCCAATGACAGCTTGTCGTTCCGTTATAACCGATTGGCCTGGCCATGTCAAGTCTAATGTCACGTGGTAGCGTCAGATAAACGGAGCCGTCCAATTACGTTATCAAAGTGTGTGCTTTTTTTTTTTAATGAGAATTTATGATCGTCCACGAACGCGTTTGAACTGTAGGGTTTACATTGAAATACTGAGACGGCAGAGAGCTTGAGCCACACGAGTATAGTACACGACACAACATAGTCAACAGTAGGCCCCACGTGAAGGTGTTAGTTTTGGGGAGGGGGTGATAATGCAACGGGGGGGGGGGGCACATGACATCAATCGGTCTCAAGCACGACTGCTACTATCATCTCACTGGTCGGTCGCCTGTGGTCAGCACACAACACGCGCGGCTCACTTGACCAAGACAGAAAGTCAATAACCGGAAGTTTCCCCCCCCTCCCCGTTTTTGTGATCGATGGCTGGTCAGCGCAGGCAAGATGTTGGTTGGCGGCGTTCTCCATTTCATCCCCGTGATGAGTCTGCGATGGTTCTCAAAACAGTACCACGATCAGACACAATATGATACCCCAACTCATAACTTTATCTTGTCATACAATTTGACTTAGGGATAACTGGGGAATGTGAAAGACAAGCAGAATATCACGGTATACCTGTATCGTGGTATGCCACATACGATAATTTGATATGATGTTTTACCGGGCCACCACTCGTCTTAACTCTGGAATCACTGAGGCTTAACATTTTTGAGCCGTTGGGCTGAGTGTGACTGCACAAAAAAAAAAACACAAAAACTACCTCTAGTTACGTCCCGTCATTCCACACAAAGCATTAAGATACAATCTTACACCTTTCAACTGGTAGCAGCTTAGATAAGATGCCCAACAGTGGCGCACTACCATTGGTTTTGTGTGTGTCGTTTAAATGGGAAATGAATTCAAACTTTCCAACTTCTCGATCGTGTCTTTTTGCCAGACCAGAATATGATAAAAAACATGGACGGGTTATTCGCCTTTTGCAATTCGGTTGGCGATCTGTTCTGTTGAGTTTGTTGAATTAGCTCTTAGTTTAAGTTTGGAATCAAAAGACGCAAGAGGGTGATGGTCGTAAGAAGGTGTGGGTTATAAGGTGTGGGTTATAAGGTGACGGTCTTAAGAAGGTGACAGTCTGGAAATTATTATTTTTATTAGTGGTCTTTTGTTTATTTCAACTGAAATATTTTTTTTTTTTACATTTGGTTGCAGCTGTATTTCTAGCTTATGGTTGTTTTGTTATTTTAAGTATATAAAGTAACATAAAGATGATTTGTAGTAAAATGCCTGGTAGTGTAGTGTAGGATCCAAATTAGTAACAGTCTACATTTCTTCATATGCCAATTTGCGGTTAACATTGGCAGCCGCCTCCACACACTGGAGTCTCTTCTGCTGAGATGTAATTGTATTGATATTTACCTGGAAAGCCGTAGGATTATGTATGCCACTTATACATGTTCAGTTAGTAAACGAATCTAATCCCTCAAATATTCAGCTTGAAGTGGACTGTCAACAAACAGTACCCGAGATACGACTGGTTGGTCACGTGTGCTTTTTTTCTTTTCTTTTTTTTGTGTGTGTTTTGTTTTGTTATTTTTTCTTCTTAAATTTGATGTAAACTTGGGCCTTGGACTTGAATGGGGTGAATGTGTCAATGCCTTGTAATATGTCCATCACTATGATCATTGTGTGATTCGGCATTATCGTGCTACAGAGTATTCATAACTAACACTAAAATGACAGAGTCTTCGTTTTGAAAAGTGACACATACTCCGATAAGGCCTCGAGAGTGTCCTCGGATAACGTGCCATCACGAGCGAGTGATCGTTGGGGGTGGGGAAACACGGCAAGTTAAAGGGCGCCGCTGCTATTTAAGCCTCCGATTGAAATCATGAGAGAATGTGCATTCACGTGGGGCTGATCAGACCGCTCAATAATAGAGGTAAAAGGGTTTATAAATGCTAAATATCTATTAGTATTAGTAAATGACTATTTGAAACTCATCTGACATTCAAACTATAACATTCAACCCTTTTCTTTCCGTGAAGTCATTTTTTTTTTCTAATAATTTTTGTTTTCGTTTTTAAATTACGCCTTTTCAATATATTTTTTGTACAACAATAAGAACAAAATCCCATAATTCAGCGTTGAAAATATAATAAAATAGTTCGATAGGCTTTCAAATTAATAAAACTTGACTAAAACTGAGCTGAAATAAGTCTACATACGATATTTTTTTAAATACAAAAATATAAGACCGGGGACTTTAGCTCTTTGTAGCACTTTAACATCATTTAAGACCACAGAGAACGAAGAGAACATTGAGAGTTAAATAGTAAAAGCCCACTAGACTAGACCAGGGCCAGGCTAGACTAGACTGGACGAATACTAACACAAGACCAACTCACCGTGGTGGGCAGCGGCTGGAGATAATCCGGGTGCAGGTACTGGCTAACACCCGACGTAAGCATTGTCAGACCGGACGATGAGGAGGTCATTTACTGCCCCAGGTGGACAATAACCGGCTATCCAAAGTAATGGTGAGTAATCCAACAAAAATAGAATTCCTCTCGTTTCAGATCCTCTCGAGTATGGATGGTAATCCAGATTCAGAAAACTATTTCAATAAGAAATGTACTGTCGATTATTTTATAAAATTTAATCCACTTTGCAATCAAGTAAGTTGATGTCCGTACCGACTTGGAGTTCCGAACTAAATCAAGTAATCCTCAAGAATTAATTCCATCTCCGATGTTTATAAATATAAATCCACAAAAGAAGCCAACATCGGTGAATCTCTCACAACTTCCAAAAAAAAGGAGTGGAAGAAAAAAAACGGCGTAGTGAATGTACGAAGAGGACGCGCACTACATCCAACGAGCGTCGCTATTCTACTGACTCGAGATCCTGTCCGACGCGAGCGTTTTGTGTGTTCCTTTTCACGTTCCGCGAGTTTGCAAGAGGTGATGACTGCAGTACGCAACGAACAACCTCTCGCGGCAACTGTCAATCACGCGATTCGCCCTCACTCACCGCTGTGCAAAGCTGTAGTGAATAAAGCCACCCTCGTCGACAACACGCAGAACACAAGCCGACAATACTATAGGATTTTGTGAAGACGGGGGAGGGGGGGGGGAAGGAGAGAGAGGGTGGGTGGGGGAGGGAGGGGGGGGGAGGAGA